TAAAGCTTATAACTAATAAAGCCATGGGAATGTCAAAGAGACCATTCATCTGTAAATGGGGCAGTGAAGAAGATAATCTACCTAAATTCTGCATCTGTAAAACTCTCACTGACTTCACTGATTAGGAAGGAGTTGCTTAAAAATCAGCAGAAAGGGCTCTGATTTGATATAGAAAACAACACAAACTTCACTCAATGGACAAACCAGAAATGCCTTTTATCATTGCTATTTATAAATGCTGTCTGTGGCAAAGATTTCTGGCTCATGAATTGTTATGGTGAAGATGACTACCAGGAAAAGCTACAAGGAAAGTACTCTGCAGTTTTGGATAGCCTGATTTGCTTAGTTTACAAATCAGATTTGTGCTCCATCTCCAAAGCTCAGCCTGTGATCAGAGCAATAAGTACTGCTCCTGGCTCAGTACTGGAGTACTGAGTGGAGTTACAGGAGTGGATTTGACCATCAGCTTGCCTCTGTCATCTTTGAGTTGTTTCTTTCCCCCAGCATCCTCAGCTGCTTTCCTTACATTTTGCTTACAGCTTTAGCTCTCATTTCTCATTTATGTGTGTGTGGGGATTCAGAAGATGCAGGCAGGTTGATTTATGGCCCCTTCTGCAGGCACCCAGGTGCTCCCAGGAGCAGGGCGGGTGCTCGGGGATCACCGCGTTCCAGCAGGCTCCAGCCCCGCTCTGGAGCGACACACGGCTGCTGTCAGCACAGCCCCAGCAGCTGCAGGGCTGAGATTTGAAATTCTCTGTCCTAAGTCACCCTAGGAAGTATTTTAAAGTAGTGTCAAGGTCAACTAGCAGATGCTGTAGGTGGTTTTGTGCGTGTGTCTGTCAGTCAGCACCTTTCCAGAAGTGTCAGAGGAATTTATGATGAGATCCTAATGCAATTCATTACTGCGGCCAAGGCACAGCGTGACCCAGATTCCCACAGTCACAGAAGTGGAGAGTGCTCTGATCTGACATCTCCAATTCTGAGATGTTCTACTTTGGTTCCAGCTGCCGATTCCATCTGCAAGCTGCTGGCTTTGGGGCCACACCTGAGCAAGATCCAAGTTACTCGTGACAGGGGATGGGGCTGCTTGTGTGGGAAGGTCATTTGAAAGAGAGGAGCTGATCTCCCAGCACCTAAATCCTCATAGAAAAGATTGGATACAAATGTGAGCTCAAAACCCCCTTAGCTGGTCATCGTAATTACATCAGTCACATAAAATGAAAACCTTGGAAAGTGTTTAATATGTCTAAAAAGGCGGAGCAGCAGGTATTTCAGCAGCTCTCTTCTAGACACAAATCTTTGCCCATTGGAGGAAGAGGAATTGGTACTGCCAAATCAACAGCCTCCTTTTTGCTGATGCTTCATTTTTAACCATGGCCAGAACTTGTCTGACCTCAATTCTCAAGTCTTTTGACCCACCAAATTGAATTGCTTTTAATTTTTTTTTCTAGCCAGCCCCCAAAAGCATTGAAGTGGTACTTTACTGATGCAAATGTACAAGGGAGCAGATAATTGAGTTTGATCTGGTCAGAAAGAGTTATGACTGGAGGCTACCTATGAAGACTTTTAGCATAAAAATATTATTCTCAAGAAATCCAGCAGCTTCCAGCTGGTAGTAACTTGAAATTCCATGTGAAAACTCATCCCACAACACTAAAAATTTCCTCCAAACACTCAAGTTAGTTTCAAAAGAATTTTCCTTGTGCACAACTATTTCTGTGTATTGAGCCCCAAATAAACAACCATGGGCAAGAAACTGTAGGAACAACTGATAGCTGGAATAATTTCTGAAAAATGAACTTTGTGGTTATACACTCAGGTCTAGAAGAAAAGTTTGCTCCCTCAGGATGTAAATTACCAGTGCTCCAGCTCTGAGCTGGACACTCAGCACTTTCAGGCTGGGTCACAAGAGCCTTGCTGGCAGTCATGAGGGGGGTCTGGGCGTGCCAAGGGGACAAAGGGGACAATGCCATTGCTGCAGTGGACTGCAGGGTGTCCCCCTTGCACCCACACCACTACAGGCCCACTAGATGGAACCAGAACTCCCTTTGGATGCTCCTCCCTGTAACTCCCACTTGAGACAGGTTCATTTTCAGTTCAGAGCCCAAGGGCAGCAGTCAGGCTGAAATCCCAGTTTCCCTCCTCCTACACAACTCATCTCGCTGCTGCTTACACTGCAATCTGCTCCAGGCTTCCAGCTTGTGTATACATCACGGGCTCTGCTGATCACAACAGTGATACCTACTTCAAACAATGAGAGCTTTTTGCCTGCAATTTCCCTTTGATACTTAAATAACAGAAAAACCACAAAAACAAATGAGGCTCTCCTCTGAATTACTCAGGAGAATACGGTAAGCTATTCTGCGCTGTCAGATACCGTTGTAATTAGGTGCTTTTAGAAATATATTATGTCTTTTATCTGTTATTTACTGTGCATACTGTATTTATTGTGCTGAATGCATTATGCCCCTGACAGGCTACTGCAGATTTCTCAGTGTGTTAATTGTCTGGGCCCTGCTGCTACACCCACTTTTGAGATTCAGAGACAAACCAATTGAATTCTGACATTTATTTATCTTCCTAGAACGAATATTTTTGTCTGGTAAATCTGTAGGGCTCCTAAAGAGATCTTACACCAAGTCACAGTAATCCTCCTCAGTTCCTGGATTACTGACCAAACACACAGTGACAGCCCTTTCAGAGCCAAGGGCTCACATAGCAACATCCTTTGCCTAAAGGCAAACTCACAAGGTTTCCAAAAGGAATTCAGGCCAGCTGTGTCTTGGGACAGTGCAGATGCACCCCAAAAGTGGGGGTTTGCCCCTCCCTGGGCTGTGCAGAGCCATCCTCAGGGCTGTGTTAACCCATGAACTGAAAGGCAGAGCCAAAGTTCACTCCCTGCCTCCAGTTTCCCATCTCGTGCCCACTCACCCCTGCCCACATATAAAAGGAATAGCAGAATAAGGCAATAATTCTTTTCCCTTCCCAAAAACCTAGAAACTGAGCATGAGTCAAAGCTCCAGCAGCCTGGCAGCGGGAATGCAAACACACCAGAGCTTCCTGGTAGATACCAAGAAGTAACTCCACAGCCAGTTTAATTAATCATCCCTTCCAGCCCTGCAGCATCCTCCAGACCAGCCGTGTCCTCAGCTACCCTGAGCCCAGGTGGGGTCTGGACTCAGCTCTTGCCCATCTCCTGAGCACCCTGCAGTGAGTTTAGACCTGCATTGCCCACCTGGGGCTCATTCACCCCAGTTTCTCATCAGAGGCACGAAGAAAGGAAACCTCTTTGCACATGAGCCAGTGTCTCCATCCTTCCAAGGCACGTGCGTGACTCATGCCAAAGAAAAGCTTCCCCTTCAGCTTTTCTGTATGCTTAATTTGAGACTAGAAATGAGAAGAATTTTTATAAGTCTAGAAAGCTGCAGCACAGAGCTTATAAGGGGAAGCATGAAAGTCCAGGAGAAGAAGGAAACTGGAGGCCTTCAGAACTCTTTACAATGTGGCAAGGATTTATGACCTCTAGTTCTTTATCCCCCATACAAACACTGCTTATTCCATACAAAACAACACTTAATCTATGAAAAACTACTAATTTTGCTTATAGAAATTCAGAACCAGATCCATAACAGCAAGTTCATATCCCTGACAGCACCAGGCAGCCTTCTGCAGAGACCTTCAGCTTGAACCACTCTGCCAGGAGCTCCTGAGCTGCACCCAGCCTCCAAAGAGCCAAACCTTCACTGATCTGATCCTCTCTGAACAAAGAGGCTGCCAAATGCTACTTTCCAACAGCAAACCAGGTATGTTGAGCTGATCCTAGAAGCAGAAAGCAGAGCTGCCCTGGGAAGGTGATTCTATAGCTCCTCTGCTGTCCTGGCACAATTTCATGGTGAGAAAAAGCTGCACCTGCAGGAAAACCACAGCCAGGCATTGAAGATATACACAACCCATTTCACCTTTTTATAGTCCCATGTTTTATTTTGGTTTGGTTTTTTTTTTTGGCTAATGGGGAGAGAACACTGCAGTTCCAGTGCTGTGTTGCAGAGGAATCCTTGTCAGCATAGGTGGGTCTTCAAAAGTGAAAAAAAGCCACGGGATAAACCAGAAATTTTCCAAGATCATGCACAGTTGTACAATTTGAGATATTCTGTTGTCTTTGCATGCCATGTATGTGAGAGCCATGGGAATTCAAAATGGGCAATAAAACATAAGAGACATGTGATTTTTAGTGATAATATATCAACCTAAGAAGTGAATGAGCCCATATAGCAGCTTTTTCTCTCATTCATAATTTTAATATGCCGAAATGACTACATTTTAGTCTACCTGGCTTTTAAAGTATATGGTTATGAATCCCTGGGAAAAAAGACATCAAATGAAATAAATGGCAGCTTTGAATTATAGTTGTGATGAGCATTGTCATAATAAATTCTCTCCTCACCCAGAGGAGCGATGAGGGATTCCTGCTGTACCACACCACGTTTTCACAAGTCAAATACAGCCACATGTTCAATTTATAGCTTGCTTTTGGGCTGAAAGTCTCCACAGTTCTTGAATGAATGCAGCTGAGCACGATTCAAGGCTGTTTGGATAAGAATACCATGTTTCCAGCTAATTTAGGCTGAGATTTTCGAGGTTGTGCAAGGGCTTTTGCAGTCCAAGTCAGAGGCACTGGTGTTTCTGAATTCTCTGGGCAGCGTGTCAAGGCATAATCTTTTAGAGGTGCTGCTCCACAGCTTGTTTCTACAGCCATAATTGCAAGAGGAAGGGATATTGAAATGACAGTCAAAACAAAGCTTTCACTGCAAAGATTAACCCTTTTCAACACCCTGGCCCTTTTTGGCACTGCAGTGTGTATTAATCACCAATTCCCTGCTCCAGCTCCAATTCTGCTGCTACAAAAGGGGATGACAATTTAAAAAGCCACTTCTGGGACACTTGGCTGGGGCACAGAGCTTTGCTCTGAACAAGATGAATGAATCCATTTAGACAAGATGGCTACACATTTTGCATATCTTTATTGCACTTTTACCACGTTGCAAACAATTCCACAAAAATGCTGCAAAAGTAAGCCTAGAGCTGCTGAAAGCAGCTTTTTACCCATATATGTATATATTTACACAAAACTATCAAAAGCAAAATTGAAAAGTAGCAGCTCAGCTATGATAGTCTAGAAAGATAAGAGCTGCCACCTCCTTATGGACAAATAGTACAACTTGTCATTTTACATCACTTTGTAAAACCAACATTCAAGTATTCCTGTCAAAGCACAATTAGTGAAATTCCCTTCTGGTAACCCCTGTATTTATTATCATTATTATTATTATAATTATTATTATTTTTTGCCTTTAGAAGTTCATAATGCCTTAACCCTTTAAATGCTGAGTAGCTGGGGGGAAAATAAGCATTCAATTTAAATAAGATACAGTGGATTAGAGCACTTAAAGGGTTAACACAAAATACTAAGTGGACTGTCACCACAAATAAAGTGTGAGTCACAAAACTATGCTGTCCCTCTTAGTTAAATTTGGAAAGTAGGTCTGGGGTTTCATAGATATACCATATATAAATACAAAATATTAAGTAAAGGCCTCCTTTCTATACAAAAAGGACAGGAGGTGTTTTGATATCAGACTGTTGTCTGTCAGTGATTGAGTATTTTCTGAATCTTTTCAGAATCTCTCTTCAGGAACTAATGAAAAGCAACACATTAGACTTATTTTTCTTAATGAACTAATCCTTTGCAGAGTCTACACTTTACCTACTTTGGGAACAATTATATCTCATTTCTGAATTCACTGAATTCACAAAGTGGCATACACAGTCTTTTGCAAGACTTTTTTGTTGTTGTTTTGTTTCCTTTTCTTCTTTGAATGTTCTTGACTCGGCTGGTAAAAACGTAGTCTTGCCATTTCACTACCTCTCGGTGGTAACAGTGTTCACATCCGTGTTAAAGTCATTTTCAACCACATTGTCATACCCATCCTTCTCTATGCAGTCACTGACAGCCTTGAGGACAATCCGCAGCCGCCTGTCCATCGCCTCCAAGTGAGGCTGGTAGAGGATTGGAGCTATTTTATCTTTTAGCAAAGATTCTTTCATCAGGAGACTGAGTTTGTATTCCTCCTTGGCTAACAGCTGTAATCGCAGATAGGTAGACTTCCTGATTCTAAGGGGAAAAGGAGAAAAAAAAAAGCAAATCAGTTATTTCCATTACTGTTGATCTGGACAGTGCTGAAAGGCTTATAGCTAATTACAACAGTAGTGCAAGAGCCTATTCTGTGATCTGAAATGATGAGAAGCAGGCATTGTCACAGTCCTAATGAGCAGCTGGCATTGTCACCTGGCCACCAGTCTTCTGGGGCTCTTCGAGGTGCAGAGGTTTTGGAGCACAGATCCCTGGGGCAGTGCAGGCAGCCCTCACATCCCTCACCTGGAGAAGCACCAAGTGGAGCTGGTACAGCATTCATAGGGCCATGTCCATCTTGGCAATGACACGTGTGACACTGGCACTGAGCAGGGACACGTGTGACAGCAGCAGAGGCTCCTCAGGCTCACCCTGCAGGGCTGCCCAGAGCCCCCACAGACACAGAGCTCACCCTGCAAAGCTGAAACTCCAAATGTACCTGGCCCCTCTGAAAGCCCTGGCCATGGGCTCCAAGGAAAGCTGTTGAGAAGCATGAGAACAAGCTGGGATTTTGTCACTTGACTTCCATGGGATGTGTATTTTGCCTTAAAGCTTCTCTCCCAACAGCTCACGGCCGTGCTCCTGCAAGGTCCCGATCCCAAGAGAGTGTTTAATGTGGCAGTGCCAATGCTCAGGGCTAGCTGGGCAGGATCACACCATCTCCTTCTCTCCACAGTGTGCAAGCAAAGTTTCACTTGAACATTTTCAGTCCTGTTAGTGGAAACCATGGTACAAACCAGGAAACACCTCCAGAGGAAAAACATACCTGCAGCACTGGTTTAAAGGCACCAATATGGAAAGTTCATCATGGGAATATTTTCCAAACCTATTTAAAGATAAGAGCAAGAATGTAACAAAGGCTATTTTAAAGGCAGACTTTTTTTCTTTTTCCTTTAACCCCAGAAAGATTATTAAAGGTATTTACCCTCTTCCATTATCTAAGTGGATAATAAAAGTTTCATTTCCAAACTTCTCAAAGGTTTCGTAGTGATGTCGATCCATGTTACCTATGGAACAAAGAGAAGAAAAAAGACCATTCTTATTCTGGCTTGAGCCTGCAGGTCAGGGCAATGCAAAAGCCCAGTGCTTCCCTAAAACAATGTCTGGGTAGAGCAGAGAAAGCAGCAAACCTGCAGAGCTCATTTGTTCCTACTGTGGATACCCCAAAGTGTGTGATACCAGGAGGGCTGTTACACCTCAGGCAGCTTTTCAAGTTCTCTGTGGCTTTCAGACTTGATCTCTAAAGGCCCCATCAGGAGACAAAGCCAATCTTCTCACCCTCCAGCAACCCCTCCTGGGGTACAGCAAAAACCCCTCTCCAGCACAACAGCACCTCAGCTGTTTGGGGGGCCGGATCTCCTGTAGGGTATCTCTGTCCTAAGCCAGCAGAGCTCCCTTCCCTGGGGACAAAGAGCCCTGCTGCTGCAGCCTGGGGTCTGTGGGGCGTGTGAAGCACACGTGGTATGTGTGCCATGTGCAGGGCTTTGCTCAGAGAGGAGAAAATGCCTGCTTTGGACAGGGGTGTTAATCCTGATCACTTTGTTAATACTGCATTCAGCTTTCTGAACCCCAGCCAGACATCCTGTTTTTCCTCTGGCCAGAGCTTTGGCCCAGTTGCTGACTGCCTGGGAAGCCAGAACAGTACCATGGCTGGAAGAGATGGATCAGGATGGTGCTGATCTGCACAGCTCTCCCTGACTGATCTGCTTTTTAAGGTCAATGTGCAGAGCACTGCTGCCAAACTATGAATTTTGTCTCTGTGGCAGTTGTCTTGAGCCACTTATAGATGGCACATATGGCTCCTGAGCTGTCACCTGGCCTCTCCTGCTGCAGCCTATTCAGGAATCTCAGTGGGGGCAATGGCACAGGATGTGTCCATGCTGGCACGTGCCCAAGGATCAAGGATGCAGGTTGGCAACTTAAAGGTGTGTTGGCTGCAGCAGGAAAGGTTTCATATGAGAATGAGAATTAGGCTTGGAATGGGTCACTATTACCTGGTTGTAAATAATTATTTTATTGAGATCAGGTTGCATAAACAGAAAAATTCCTGATACAATCCACAGCTGCCTTTGTGACAAAGCAATGTCCCTCCCCCCCACACCCTGACATTTTATAGAGAAGCAGCAGAGAACACTCCTGCAGGATGAAAACAAAGCACCAGTAATGAGCAGTCCTTGCATGTGCATCCAGGAGCCATATATTACAGGGGTAAAGCACTCACTAAAGCAAACTGTGAAGCCCTTCACTGCTGTGAAGGAGACTGGCCTGACCTGCATTCATCACCACTCTGCATTTCTGAACATCTTTGTTCCTTTAATCTGCACTGATGGGAATACATAACCATGTAAATCTGCATTTTCTCATCATCATCTAGAACAGCATATACAGTAAATGCAGCTTCAACCACGCTTTAGCAAACTGCTGAGCTATGCAGAGCAGTGCAGAAAGAAATGGTTTTTATTCTAATTAAATGTTGCATTTAATTTTTGAAAGAGATGAAACATACCCATTAGGAAATCAAAAACTGTCATATCCATTATATCCAGAATTCTGGTCCCACTGTCGTATGGGGGTGTTTGTTTAACCTCTTCACAATAATCTGGATCAACTTCCCATCTGGAAAAGGCAGTATTTTGATATTTTATGTGACATACAAAGCTTACTGAAAATAACAAAAAAAAATGTTATTTTGCAAGGATCTACTTGTGTCATGTTCAATTGAGGGCAGGGTTGGGTAGAGGCAGCAAATTCCAGCAATGCAGGCAAGCAAGGAAGGCTGTGACTGATGGAAAAAAATGAAAATCACAAGACTGAAAACTATCCAGCCAGTAGGTTCAGGATTTAGGAGACTAGCTGCACCATCAGTCATATGGTGCAAGCATCTGAGACTTCTTTAGGGCTGCTGAGAGCAGGGAATCTTTCTCCTTCTGATAGGACTTAGAGAGGTCCTGTTGCATCCTGTCTACACCACTGCAGGTATCTGCCCCATGAGGGAATTGTGCCACTGAAAGTCCTTCTGGGTTCAGGACCATGGACTGGAGCTCCTGGCACGTGCCCTGTCCCTTCCCAGGGAAAACCCAGCTGCTCTCCCGAGGCCAGGGACTGGGTTATTTCCCCGTCACCCTGTGCAGCTTTGCTCACCACTACTCACTCTGCTTTCTTGCGCTTGTGGTAGGAACGCCTCCAAGGGTTTCTCCAGGTTTTCCTTTTTGCTAATGACAAATCAGGCAGGAAAGCAGCCAGAGACCCTTCGATCTGATCCGGTTTCCCACACAGGGCGTGCTCTGTTGAGCAGTAGTAGGAGCATTCCCCATAGAAGCAGATGTTGTTGGCTGGCAAAGAAAGGAAAAGAGCTTTAAAGCCTACACTTAAATTAGTACTGAGAATTTATAAAAGCACTGATGTATGTAGGAGCAGAAATAAATCCAAACCCCTGTTACCACACGTAGTTTTCCTCCACTGAAACCACCAGAAAGACATTGATTTCAGTGGCTGGGATCACGCCCTGTGCTAAGCTCTCTGTGACTATATCCAGTCTATTTATATTCTCCAAACAATTTTTTTCTTTTAATCCTGTCCTTTCTCCTTTCATTTTCCCAGACTGATACATTCCTTGGGACCTATTTGCTACCCCAGGCTGGAACAAGTGGCATGTGCCCAAAATTAAGTCACTTCTCAAAATCTTGGCTCATTTCTTTAAGAACAGAGAACATTTCATTCATTTCCTTGCTGGAATGAGAAGAACTGGCAGTTTTTGCAAGGAGAATTATTTACCATCAAGGGTCCTGAGGGGGTGTGTGTGGAAGGTGGAAATAGCACAGACGTAACGCTGCCAGCACACATCTCAAACACAAATCCCTTCCTCCAGCCCTCACGTTACTCCAACAACCACAGAAAAAGAATCTGCAGCAGGTTTTGGACTGTGTGTTACCTTAAAACCTCCCCAAAACTGCCACCACATATTTCTGCACCAACAGGAACAGGAACACCCAGCTCTGTACAAGAACACCCTGCCCACGGGAATTCTCTGCAGGTGAGAGAGAGCAGCTCATCCCCAAAGCCCACCAACGCCGGGCTGGGAACAGGGATAGGAGCATACTGCTGCTCTTGCCAGCGTGCTACAACTCTTGTGACATTGCTTTATGACATAAAATGTCATTAGAGGAAGACTGTGCCCTTTCCTCATGGTAATGCATGAAGCTGAGAAGTCACATTGCTTCCTAATTCCCCACAAGGCCTCTAAATTCAAATATTGTTTCCAAGCTCCTCTCCCTCTGGGCAGGCTCAGTGTAAATGAGGCAGGAAGGGCTGGGAGTAGTGGGAGGTGATTTTCTGCCTGCCACAGGAAGGTGAGTGGTGGCTTTGCATGGCAGTGATGCCCTGCACGTCACTGTGACATGCCCCAGCCCAAACCTGCATCCAGCAGAGTGCCCAGGGCATGGGGGGCACTGCCAGTGGGAGATGGTGAGTCAGGAGGCCAGGGACTGCTCTGGGGGTTACAGGAGGGAAGGAGGAACAGAGCAAGGACCTGTGTTTGAGGAAGGAGAAGCAGGGGAACATGCAACAGCAAAAAGATCTTGTGATGCTTTTGATTAATTAGCTGCATTATCGGGGGCTGGCTGTTAAACCATGGAATTATACCAAATAACCACAGTGTCAGGCTGATGTGTTGCTACTTGACAATCTGTTCCAGCTTCCCACTGATGCCCCAGCTTTCTCTGCTGATGGCCACCTGATTTGTCCATGAAGCTGTGATTACTCTAAGACAGCTTTTTTGCATCACTTTGCTGTGACTGACTCACAAGAGCCACACATCCATCCATGCTCAAACTGTATATTTATATTCACAGGGCTGGATCATAGCAGTTAAATATATCCTGGCTAATCCAGAAATATTTACTCTGTGGCCAAAAAGCTTGTTGACAATTACTCAAGGAAAAGAAAAGTGCTTCAGGGAAGAGAAAAGGAAGAACAGAAATTACAAAAGGAAGGAAGGGATCTTTCAACATATGTGTACTTCTGAGTTTTCAATTTAAGTGTTTTACCAAGCAGAATATTCTCTCTTAAAAATTGTGTTTCTGCTGATTTGAAGCAGCAGTGGGGCTTGGGCTTCAATTGAGCTGTCTCAGCATCACCTCCTCATCTGTGGAGAGAGGGAAGCATGCAGATTTATCTTGGCTGCCTGAGATAACTTATCTTCCAGGGTTTCTGTGACCTGACTTCCACCTGGCAGCAGGAAGCCAGTGCTCGTTTATCTCCTGCCAGATCGGTTTTGTACAGAGCAAAAAGGCCAGCAAATGCCCCCCATGCCATCACAGCCTCTGCTGCTCACTATGTAAATCTGACCTTTCAAGAAAAAGGAGTTGTATTAAACACAGCATTTTGCTCAGTGGGAAGATAAATACTTTGTTTAATAGTTTGCTCCTGTATTCAGCTTTGGGAACAATGAAACTCTGTTCTGTATTGTCAACGAATGCAACTGGGGCTAATCACTTGACAGTAATCACACACTGGTACCCAGGTAAAGCTTGAGGAGAGCTGGGGGCTCTGGCAGTGCTGGTGTTTGCTGCTGCAGGGCTGTGCAGTGAGCACGTGTGCTGCCTGCACCACGCCAGCCACTCATCCCACACATCCCTGCCAGGATCCTCCACGAGCCCATTCCCTGCTGCAGCACCCAGTGCCCTGAGCAATGGCAAGATGTGTCCTGTCACCAAGGCAGTGAGCTTGCAGTAAAACCACAAGGATATTTCTCACTGACAAGTTATATTCAATATCAAATCTTCATCTGCAGGCAGTTATTCCCCCATGGGCTCAGACCTGTGGTACCTACTCCCCACAGCTCCTGTTCGATTTCTGGGGATAGTGGAAATGAAAGGATCCTGGATCTCAAGCTACTGCTAAAAAAAAATTAATGGCCTTGATTGATACAGAATAGACATTTTATTATGTCTTCCCTAGTCCTTACATACTGGCAGTAAGATGAAGCAGCCTAAATTATCTGGGGAAACATTCATTTTTAAGGTTTCTTAAAAATGTAGGAAAAAAAAAGAGGAACCAAATATAGAAAACCACAGTTCTCATTTAATACTTCAAGGTGCTGTAGCAAGGCTCTTTGAAACCTAAGTAGGTGACCCACATTCTGCACAGCAGGCTGAGGGTGAAATTCCAGCTAGAGACACAAGCCCAGAGCTTCATGGCAATCCCACGCTGAGAGCAGGGTTTGGCTTTCCAAAGCAAAAATAAGAGAGAAAGGGGAGATGAGCTCCCTACTGGAGCAGGGAGCTGCTCACACTTCTCCTCTCATTAAAACTGCCCAAACCATATGTTCCTCTCACCAGAAAAAGGTGTTTCTGCATAACTACACCTGCAAAAGGAGCAACAGCCAGGAATTTGTGCTCCTGCAGGGTGGGCAGGAATGGCAGCAGCAGCAGTGCTGGCAAACCAGACAAGGAGGGATGTTTATACATGCTGGAATGTCCAAATGCTGTGCATTTCCAACATGCAAAAGCCTTCTTCCCTAGAAACCAAAATTGTTTCCCCAAAGCACCATAAAGACAAGAGAACCCCATGTTGCAGTGTCTGATTTTCATTATCTGAGGAGGAATGGATGTGATTCATAATGAAATACAGGCAAAAATCATGGTCTGGTGATTGAAACTCCAACTAATTACAACAGTTAACAGCCAGAGTGCCTGTGTACTCATCTGCACATTCTCTGTGCATCCTCCTGATAGCTGAACAATAATTCTTCTCAGGAAGAAAAGGAACAAGGGGGGATACCTTAAAGCAAATTGCTTGGCAGAGTAATTCTTTTATTCAGCTTTGCATGACTGTTAATAGAGGACATTTAGCAAGCCTGTGCAACTGGAGTACTGGAAAGAATCCTGAATATTTACTACAGCAATTCATGAAAAGATCTTTCATTTACCTGCTCAAAATAATAGGTAATTCAGAGCTGCTATTGTATGCTGAGAGGGAAAAAAATCCATAATCCCTTGGAATTGGTTAATATGAACAAAAACATAGTGCTTACTAGCTGTGTAACATTGATTTCTTTAAGCTGCTGCCTCTATTACTTCCAAAATGAAGGCTGACATCATTAATATGTCTCTTTTTTCCTAGCAAATTACCATTCATTTGTAAGAGTAGCAGGGCTACTGCAGTCTGCCCTGCTGCAAAGAACGTAAAATTAATTTAAATAATTACTGACCTAATTCCATTTCTCATGTTTAAGTCCAAACTGCCTGCAAGTGCACTTTTCTGCAATCTGCTTTCTCTCTGAGTGCAGCCTAATGCATCCACTGACCTGTCTGCTCGAGCCATTGCCACCTTTCCATGGGAGCAGGGATGCTGCTTGGCACTGCTCTCTGAAGCTGCCTGTGGCTCCCTGGCCCTGATTTCCACACCTGATGGGACAAGGGAGGTGGCCCAGGAGTGGAAATGCAGTGAGGTTTCTTCTAACACCTCCCCACACTGCTCTAGGAGATAACACATGCTTGGACAATGCTCCTGGTGAGATCCTTGGGGTGTCCTGTGCAGGGCTGGGAGCTGACCTTGATAAGCCTGCTGGGCCCCTTCCAACTCAGTTTATTCCATTATCCTGTGACTGATGAGCATCATCAAAAACCACCCTCTGAGGGTGCTAACCAGGGGCTCCCAGCCCAAGGGGAACATCTTCCTATAAAATCAATTTCACTTAGTGCTTGTTTGATTTTAAGAGCTCTGTGTGTGTGTGTGTGTGTGTGCCCCAGGACCATTAATTGTCCCTGAGCACCACTGGGGATGGAGATGCAGTGACAGAGCCACCTGAAAGGGAGCCCAGAGGGTTCCAGGCACAGCCTGGCTCGTGCACATACCAAGAGGTCACACCTCAATCCCTCACCTTTGGAGGCAGCTCTCCCTCAAAATCAACTGACTCAGCTGCCCTTCCTCTGCCAGAGGGGCAAGCCAGCCTTCCCCAGGCTCCCTGTTCCCTCCTCATCCTCACCCCCCAGAGCACGAGCCTCACCCCAGCACACTGCTCTTCCTTCTCTGCCCTCAATCTGCTGCCTGAGCTGCCTGCTGGGCTTGTGGAAGCTGTTTCTAAAAGCTTAATTTAGGATCTTTGTTATTTTTTCATTAAGCATTAATTAATGTCTGCCTTTTAAGGTCAGTGTGAAATACAAGACGGAGGTTGGGCATATGTTAATGAGAATCTGACTAATTAAACTGGGGACTTGTAGGGAAGAACTCTGACAAGTAACCAACGTGATTTAACCAAAGTATATTGATTCAGGAAATGTAAAATGGAAAGAAAAATTAATTGCTTAAGCATTTTATTCTCCAGAAAAGCCTGATTCATAGTTAATCAAATATTTTAATTGAATTTATCTGAGACCTCTAAATAAATTTGAATAAAGGATTATGCTTGGATGTCTGGAATTTCATAATGGCAAGATAAAGATCTTCATCCAAACTGGCAGCCTTAACTCTGTATTACCCTGCTCTTGCTGCTGGAAGCTGCTCAGTACTTGAGAACAGTGTTGTAATTCTCAGAAATCATTCAAGCTCACCCCTAAGTCTTGAAATATAACCTAGGAAGACTAAAAATCAAGCAAACCAACTAATGCACATCTTACTTGCTAAAATGGGAATTAAGTGGCTTATGTTTAAAGTGAGTCAAAGCATCTTGTGCACAGTCACAATATTTTTTTGCTGTTTTTTGCACATTTTTACCTACAAAATTCAAGCCAAAAACCAAGTATAGAGAGACAAAGAGGGAGGGAAACCAAGTAAGGCAAACACAGAAATGTGTGTCTACCAGGTTTGGTGAACATGTATTGTCAGCATAACTGTACATGTAAAATTGGAGTGATAATACTGGGTAAAATGAAACCTTCTGCAATTATGTAATGTATTTTACAAGTGAGGTTCCTGGAATAAATAACTGTCTGCTCAACTGTGTCCTCCAGAGCTGAACATAAAGATGAAGCTAAAAATAACAGCTGTAATAATGACCTTACTGGGGATCAGAAAAGTGTGATAAACATTTTAAAAGCAAAAGCTCGTCAATGACAGGGCTTTGGTTTCTAGCTAACAGAAATAAATTACAGTTACATTGGGAGAAACTGTAATTAAGTCTTTGGATCTTGACTTTAGGGATCTGGGATAAACAGCTTCTGGCCAATCATACTCAGAGCAAGGGAGAGATCTCCAGAGGTTTGTGCTCCAGATTGCCTCTTACACAAGTCACCCTCAGTTCAGCAAAGCACACTTGCACTGAGCTGAAACAATAAGAGTTAAGCTACTGGAACATGGCACTGCTTTCATTTGAACCTATAAATTCCATATGTAAGAACAAACTTAAACATTATTCCTGTGCCTTAACTCAGAGCCCTAATTTCTCCATCTCAGCATCCCAGATGTTGAACAGAGATGCTGCTTCTTTTTCCCACCTTTTGCCCATTTTTCCCTATTCCAGTTGTATCCTACGGTGAGCAGGATAGGGTTTTACCCTGTGCTTGTAAAATTCCCACCCTGTGAAGCTCCATCCTTGACTAGGTCCAGCCAAAATGTTATGAAAGACTGAAGAGTGAGTGGTATCAGCTTCTGGGTCAGGCCTCGAAGACAGAGTGAGGACTGGGAACAATTCAGGTCACTTCTAGCCCAACAGAGAATTTGAGCTGGAAGCGGGATATATTACACATCTATTTTCTGATTTTTTGTCCAAACTCTTGCTGTAATAAAACCTGAATGTCTCTGAGAAATTAGGTTTGGTCCTCCAGTCAAACCCAGAAATAAATGTATCTAACCAACAGAAGTGACAGATCACATTGCAGCAGGAGAAAACCCCTGGATAACTAATGGGCTGGGTAATAAGGTTTTGGGTAAACTGAGAGCACCAGAAAAAATTGCCTTAGAAATTGTTCTACATAAAACATTTGTTGAATACATTGCCTTGGCAAACATAAAAGCCTCTCTCTGCAGATAATTTGTCAAGGGGAAAAGGCACTCAACTCAAAACAATAAAGTCCTCTTTGTAAGCTATGTCTCCACATTTATTTTTATTCAAAGGTCTAGAAGACAGTTTTATTAGAAATATCGGAGCAATTAAGCAATCTACACATCGTTTCCTTAAGTATGTGTTCAGCAGGATAGAGAGAATAGAGTGTTATTTCCAGGACTACCTGGTGAGATGAAAAATGTTCTCCACAGCTTCTTGTCACGAGTAACATCTCGTATCTCTCTCGTCATGTTAACCAGTCTACCTGCAACCGGGGGCACGCGCCGGAAATCCAGGATCCTGCAAGAGGGAGAAAAGACATCGTTTATGTAAGGGATTAAAATGTAATGATAGTTATAGGTTTTAGGAAGCTTCATTACACTCTGAAGGCACATTTATCTGTGGTCTTTAAGGAGTATAAAGACCATCAACTTTAAACTGGATAATTCCTCGTATAATGTATTACAAAATATGTCCTGAATATGATGAGCTCCGCATTGCTGACGTAGTATGGAGTAAAATACAAGAAATGTATGGAGGGTATTGTTCCATGATAAAAATGAAGATACATATGATTCCAAAAACCAGAGACAGCAAAAATTTATTTTTTTACTTTGTGCTACTTTATGGTTGTTATGACATACATTTGCTCACCAGTTTTTTAAGTGACTTGGGGAATGGGATTTCAGCCTCTTTCTTACATAAACACCATGTAATTCTTTTTCTGACAGCCTTAGTATGTGTTTGATTTATTTCCTTCTGCTCCTCTCTGTTTTAATACCCTTATACTAACCTAAACAATCTCCCTGAGACCAAAAATCTTCCCATGGGCAAAGGCTGGGAGAAGAGCCTCTCCCTACCCCAAACTCCCCTGCCTTCACAGATCATAAAAACTTCCCCAAGAAGCACTGCTATTAGATACAGTAAAAGAGCAAAGACGCCCTGCAAGGTCTCCCCATAGGCAGGATTTTTATATCCACTGTCTGCTGTTCAGATTTTCTACATTGGGTAGCAACTGATTTTCCTGCTCAATGTGTGGATATTTAACATACCCCCTGTAGGAACTCCACTGATGCTTTTTTCTACAGCACCATCTGCTTAAAACGGCAATATAAAATATAAAGCAGAAGGGATCAACACCAAGGTCAACAAAAATAAAATGGAGAAGATCCTTGAAAGATCTGATCAGGATTGGCTCTAACTGGCAAAACTACCCTGTGCCACCCACTGACACATCCTCATATCCCAGCCATCATCCCAGAAGGCAGAAATGCTACACAAACCCCCAAATAATTTGATTCCCCAAAGCTTTGCACTTTTGAAAGGATGTTTCTTGGCCTTTCCCTGTGTGAAAGATGCTTCAGTGAAATATTGTTGTTTCCAGATTTACTGTAAATCACTAATTAGTAGTTCCCACCCCTAATCTGGGCAGGCAGGGCAGGCTGCAGTCTTGGGGTATCTACCATCCCCTGCACTAACTCTGGAGGGGGGACACTTTCAGCAACAGGAGCATGAGATGACCACCACTGCCCTCTCCTTCCCACTAAATATGCTCCTGATGTAGGACAGTTTCAGCTTTTTGCTGTGAAACCAGAACTTCCATCTCCATTACTCCTCTCTGAATGCTCACACCATTCCCTGAGTCTCGTTTGGATCTCCATGCCCTGAGCTAATTGGGGTGAGCCAGATTCCCGTCACACTAACGTGACACTTTCCCTGGGAGATGGGTCCTCTCCATATCTACTTCAAGATCACAGGGGAAATTAATTTTTCAGCTTCTCTTCAATATAACTTCTCTTTCTTTTTGAGAATTACTTATTACCAGATTTCTCATTTCCAGAGTAAGTCTCATTTCCTAATTATTAACTTACTCTTTCATCATCTGCCATTTCATTTATTCATGGCATTTGCCCACCTTTGTTCCAGTTTCCCCTTTAAAAAATAATTCAGTAACAGGAATGGCCAAGTGCAACTCATCACAGTATTTCCCCTTTTAATGCAAATCCGTTCTACTTGCCTGTCCAGATGAAATGCTGCTATTTCTGCATTATGTCTCTCATAGTCTGAGAAGTAAAAAAAGTCAGGCGGGGTTTCTTGTTCTCTGGTTTGCCTGCAAAGGACAACAAGGGAAGTGTTTTAATGAAGGGTTAGCATTCCTAAGGAACAGTGCTCAGCCATCAGCATGCTGTTCAGGAGATCTGTATTGTTTGCTTAATGGAAGACCTTTAAATACCTCATTTGTGCATTATTTGCCATGCAGCCTTCATTTTATCTTCTTTTTTAAGCTACTCTAACAAAAAAATAGGAATTCAAGACTTGTGCAGGCAGTGTGCTGTCACAAAGGTGTTCCACTCAAAATTCTTGCTCTATTTAACAAGATCTGTTTTATCACTCTCAAACATTTCATTAGCGATAGCGGTGAAGACAATGTCATTTCATTAAATTATCATTAACTGTAATTATGAAATTTCCAAAAGTAATAACATTTTTCTTTCATCTTTGGCAGCCATGCAGCTCCCATCTAGAATATGCCTCTCCCTTTGCATTACTTAGAGCCGAAAGTGACATGTTTTTCTCATTTCAGGAGGAACAGGATCATTGCAGTTTGATGGCCACGACACTTGTCATGTTTCAAAGAACATTAGCAAGACTGTGCTTGAGAGAGGATGCAGAGTTTGTTGTTTCTTCAGTTTAAGAACCAATAAAAAATGTTATTCTGATAGGAAGGCTGGAAATAGGAAGGCTAAAGCTTCCACACTACAGTACATGGAAAATACAAAGCTCTGTGTAAGAGAAAAGCAAATCCTGTCTCACTCGAGGCAGCTTCCAGTCCTTCTGGATGGAGCACAACTCAAGCAGCTGACCAGTGCAACATTTGGGTCCCACCTCAACCTGTTTTGAAGTCCTCAGAGGGAGATAAGCACAGCAAAGCTGCCTGCAGAGCATCTGCAAGGGAGGACAACTCTCCAGAAGAGGAAAACAAAGCTCTTTCTCACTCCCCGCTGTCGCAGGTGGCCCAGCTGACAGCTCATGTGTCACTCGTGCTGCCTGCTGGCAATTAAAATACAGCTTCTGCACGGGGACCTTGGTGCATGAGAGGCTTTGGGGTGGTGCTGGTGCAGAGATCAAACCTCCACTGAAGTCCTAATTTTGGGTTTGCTGGGGACTGGAGCTGTGTCCATCCACCACTGTGACAACCAGAGCTGGTGTCTGCCCACCAATCCACCCGGGGGCTCTCCAAGTTGCTGGAGAAACCAGATGAGTCTTGTTGCCTTTGGCTGCATGAGGACTTTGCTGTGCACCCAACAGGGTGCCTGATATCCCTTCTCAGACATTCTTTTTTATATTAACATCTTGTCAAAGTACTCTGTCTTGCCCTAAATGATGAACAACATCAAGGTGTTTGTGTCCAGTAGAACTCAAGGTCAGAGAGGCCTCAACCAGCCCAGTGATGCTGTGGGAAAACAGCACTGACCACTGTCACAGCAGAGGTCATGGAGGTGGCCAGCACTTGGCAGAAATCCTGCTAGGGAGCTGCTCTGGCCACAAAGGGTTCACGAGGACACAAGCTAAAAGTGAGCCTGGCATTAAATAAAAAGTACTATTTTGCTTTGTCTCCATAAGCAATGCAAAAAGGCAAGGAGTACACCCACAAAGAGGAACAGGGGGGAGCAGAACCTCTGGCACGTCACACAATGCACAACGCAGTCAAGAGTTAGGAGAGCTGCAACCTCATCCTGCATATTCTCCTAAAAAATGAAGGAATGAGCCCTGAATATAAATTCAAAGGAAAAAAGATTAACCTATTTCTGCTGGACATAAAATCACACATTGGCATGTGACCTTCCCTCCTCTCCAGATTTTTAAGAGTTGATTTCTTCAACAAATCCTCGCCCCAAGATTTCACAAACTCTACGCACATCAAGCACAGCTGATAAGGTGCAGAAAATATTACAAATTAGCTAATCAATGCCATCTGCTTTTTATCTCCCGGGCACTTTAGAAGAAACCACTGCTGTTCCTTTATGAGAAAACTTTGCTCCAGAAAATCAGACTTAACTGAGGGCTGGATCTCAGCCTTGCAAGGACAGCCCTGCCCCAGCCCAGCTCCCTTCCACTGCTCCCTGTGCTCCCTGCCACCCCCAGCGATGGCTGTGGTTATTTTTCATTTGAGAGTAAGCACAGCTGTCCTGCAGGCTCAGGCTTGTTTGTACATATCTTCTTGCTGTCATAATGTATTATTAAGTGGTAGCACACCGTCCTAAGAAAACAATGAAACTGATTGCCCTAAAACCTTCAAAAATGGACACCAAATCCACAGTGCAATCTAGACAATGGAAACACCAGTATTTTTTGAACCGGATGACATGTCATGAAACAAACTCCCAAGTTTCTTCAGTGCTTAAGGTGCTTCCTTCTACAAGAAAGACTCTACAGCCACTTTCCATATGGTCCATGCACATGTCCAACACATCATACCCACTTCTCTGCTCTTGAAAACACCCTGTTATTCAGAAAGTAGACTGGAAGGAGGATTTACCAACCCCCCATGATGCTTTATATCCCTTATATTCCTCTGCAGAGCTCTCCAGAACAAACATGTAGCAGATACAAACATGAAGCCCTCTCCTGAAACAACCTTGAAATAGCCTTAGTGCTGACTTTCTCCAATCTTCCACGGATATAACAGAAACCTAGTTCCTTGGATCTGACATTAAATAGACAGATTTTTATTCAAGCAGACATTTATTTTTAATTTGATGTCTGCAGCAGTACGTGAAGAGGTCCCTTGGGAGTTCCCCAGCCAGAGCAAGCTGCCATCCCATCAGCAAACACTAGCACGTGTGTGGATTGTAGCCCAAGATACACAACTGAACTTATAAAGCCACGTGAGTCTAACATAGCTCTGAACCAATACCATTAACAGACTGATATGAGAGTGGCTTTAAGTGTTAAAGGGCACTTACATCATAATCTAGAATTTTGACTTTATCCAACTGCATTGATATATAATTTTATTTTATCCATGTTAAAAATGGCCTTTTTCTGTTTTTTAACTGTCCACAATCTAATCAAGTCTGTTTGTTGCTAATTCTTCTAATGATCTATTCTGATGTAAAAATCAGAGAGGTGGAAGATCAAACTGCTCTCAGCAAGTCCAATCAGTTACTCCAGCTTTGGATCATGGTTACTGGTCTTCAGCCCCTAAGTGACAGGTTGGGAAAAGGGAATGAACTCCCAGACCCTTCCAGGTCAAGTAAAACATCTTTTAAAACAACACTGGAACTGATCCACCCCACAGCATGTTTTAAATCAGAATTCCATTTTAAAAGGGGGAAAAAAAAATCCACCCCCACCTACAAATCAGTTTGGTTTTCTCACCTGGAGGTTATTGTCTAATAAAATGACACATACAACAAGACCCTTGAGCAGACACTGACATGCTGAGCCCTCTGCAGCAGCACACACTTCTGAGGGACCCTGAATTCCAGTGTGAGCTCCTCAGTGCCAGCAGTGCCACCCCACACCAGGCAGGGACAGGTTCTGCACAGGTTGCAGACGGTGGGAGAGGATTTCTGGCAGCAGCTCCTATTTTGCAAACAGTTGGAATCTGGTGATCCTCTCTTTGGAGAAGGATTTGGCAGATATTTATAAAGGCAGGCTGGGAAGCTCTGGAGGAGAGACAGATGGAGGTCTGTTGATACTGCACACAGTTAAAAATTACACTGTGGCACCAGCCCAATTACAGCATGAGGAAAAGACAAATCAGCACCATAACACGTGTAGGGAAGAAATCAGAACTAAGGGGAAATCAAAGCCCATGAAGATTTTCCCACCATGGCACAACTCAGAAAAAAACAGGAAGCAAAGAATGATTTTAAACAGGACAGGGACACGATTGTGTTGACACAAGACAAGATGCAACTGTGATCTGATCCAGTGGCTATAAAAGTGAGTCATGCTAACAAACAGCAGAGAGAAAGCTGCTCTGATAAATGAACAGTCATGAATAAATCTGGTGAGTTAGCTCCATTCGAGCTCTAGTTTGGACCTGGTTTGCTTGAGTAGTATTTGGATAAATCAACATTGTGATTTGTATTCAGAAATAATTATAAAGTCTTAAACTTCTCTTCAATGTTTCTGTAATTTTTTTATTTTTTTTTTTCTATTGCTTGGTCTCATAGCCTCAACATTAATATCTCAGGATTTGTTTTTTGCTGTTCATGAACCAAATCACCACAGGGCGACTGCAGGCTCTCCAGACTCTCTGGTATTTCAGAAAACAGCATCATAAAAACTAAACCCTTACCATGGAAATCTGTATTTAGTTTCCAGGATCACTAGCATACACCTGCCTAAACTACCAGGATTAATACCCACCAGGGCTGTGCATTACTCGAAAGAATCCTGCTCAGTGCCAGACTTCCCCTGCTCTGGAGGGGCTCTATTATCTGTACAGCAGCCAGAAGGATAGAAAATAGGGCAGAGAGCCCAAGGTGAGCTAAGTGTTACCCTGACAGACACATGCTCTCTGCAGCCCAGAGACATCTCTGAGACACCTCTGGTGTCAGACCCACATCCCTGAACTAATGAGAGGATGTGCTGCTGCTTGGAAAACAGCTCCTTTTAAACAGGTTACCCTCGTGTTCTGACACATAATCAGGGGAATCAGCCACTGGGATTAGGCATGATTAGGGAGCACAACAAGGAGCTTTGCTGCAGCAGGGAGCAGGTTTGCTTGGGTCAGGCCATTCTGCAGACAGAGCCCCTGCCTGACCCAGCCAGGGAAATTGGGCAGCAGCAAATTCAGAAAGAGATATAAAGCAGCAAGGCTTTGTAATTGCATTGGCAGGGACAGGACTAACACTGATAAGAGCATAATTTGGCTATCGGAACAGATAACAGGAGATTAACGGGGTCTACCCACAGCTAGAGGTTGCTATTCTTCTCCTTTGGAAAGCAGCTTTCCTCTCTTCCTGTGGAGCACTTAAGGTGTTTAAATACCTGTCCTGAAGCCCAGTTGCAGGCTCAACAGTTCATACACAGTGTTAGCTAAATGATAAAATATAGCTAATACAGGACTAAAAGGATAGTTAATGTGAGACTAAA